TTGAAGAGGCAGCGCCGTCCGGGCTCTACCAGGCTCTCTCGCCCTCGCTCTCCGCCTGCTATTGGACCAAACGGAATGGAATTTACAAAGCCGGCAGCCAATAGATCTCCGCAGCCGGTCCCATCGCTACGGGAGCCGCGTCTCCGCCGCCGCCGAGCCGAGCGAAGGAGCCGCGCAGCCGAGGGCCAACCCGCGGGAAGCGGGCGATCCCGGGTGGCTGGGCGCGAGGGGGGGGCGGGAACAGGTGGTGGGCGCGGGACACCGGCAGGGATGCGAGAGGCGGCAGCGCAGGAAAGACGGGGGCGCGCGCGCGCGCCAACCGCCTCCCCCGCCGCCGCCTTCCTCCGCCCCTCGCCACAACCTCGGGTAAGTCCCTGCCTCTTTCGGATCTAGCGCCTCTCGTCCTCGACACACACACGCACACGCACACGCGCGCACACACACACACACACACAGAGAGAGAGAGAGAGAGAGAGAGAGAGAGAGAGAGAGAGAGAGAGAATTAAACCTTGCCTGCCCGCGGCTCTTTCGACAGGCGCCTTTCCCATCGCATCCCGGTGTAGCTGTCAGGGATTCACAAACTTAGCCCGACGGAGTAACTTTTTTTTCTGTCAGCTTTCTGGAATTTATATATAAAGTCGGCCATATGTAAAGTACACACACACACACACCATTTCTCTCTCTGTGTCACTCACTCCCACACACACACACTCCATTTCTCTTTGTGTCACTCACTCACTCATTCACTCACTCACACACACACATACACACACTCCATTTCTCTCACTCACTCACTCACTCATAGACACACACCCCTTATATGACTGAGACGGACTATCAGAAAGACAAACAAGTGGGCCGGTCTTATCAAGCCTGAACAATAATGCTGGGAAAGGTGAAAGGTGGCAAGAAAAGAGGAAGACCAAATACGAAGTGGACTAACTCTCTAAAGGAAGCCACAGGCTTGAGTTTACAAGAGCTGAGCAGAGCATTTGAAGACAGGACATGCTGGAGAGTGCTCATTCATAGGGTCACCATGAGTCGGAGAAGAATCATCATAATGTGTGTGTGTGTGGGGGGAGTTATTCATATGACCATTGATTAGAATCCACTACTCTACCCCATACTTTTCTCATGCAGAAAAATATCCTGATTCCATGTGCGCTTTTAAGGGGGGGGAAGCCCTATACTGTACTAATTAATTCCCCTTATTTAACACTTCGGCTGGTAATGGGTTACAAGTGTAGTTGTTGTTACTGTTATACTTCATACAGTTATACTGTATATACTTATACTGTACTGCTTCCGCGCCTAAGGTGGCTAAACAGGGCCCTTAGTCTTCCCCACTTTACCAAGCAGCCGTCTGATATTGTTCTGAATAGATGGGTTTTACTGTAGGTGAGTCCTTTAGTCCTGGATGTCTGGAAACTCTTCTGTTTTTTTCCCTCCAACTCCCCTCCAACACCAACTCTTCTTGGAACAGGATGGGAGCTAACAAGAGGAAGGCAGAAACTGGTTGTGCAGTTTGCTGTGAGGTTCATGGCCCCTCAAGGTACGTCAGGTTGCTTGAGAGGTTTGCGGCTCGCGTGGTTGCTCATCTTGTTTGCTTACAAAAATACCACCTGAGTAAAAGGCTTTGGATGTTCTTTCCCTTGTGTGGGAGCAAAAGCAGCTGTAGCTGGCATCACCTTTCATGTGGCTAAGAGCACATCACACTGCACTTGGCAGTGCCAAGGAAAACAAGGTCATTATGAGTCTCACATAAAGACATTCTACTTCCTTTCTAGGCCCCCAGTGCACAGGATGTTGATGACCCTCTGTGAGGATTTTTTTTAAAAGGTGCAACTGATTCTGTACACAGACCATCTTGATACATTGCCCATGGGGGAAGAACAGATCATGTCCCATATTTCTGAAGTTATGATACAAATTGTACCCACATGCTCTTCCTCTCAGAAAGTGTGCATACAGTATGTATGTATGTCATAGAGTGTACTTCCTTCCATGATATCCTGCTTGTAGACTTATAGTAAGGGTCTTGGTTGGCTGCTGTGGGAATGCAAGGCCAAAGGGACCTTTCATCTAATCAGTCGGGAAACAAGAGGAGAGCCACTTCCATGATGGAGAAGATCTCAGGTTCTGTCCCCAATGTCTGCCGGTAGGGGTAGGAAAGAAGTCCTAGAGAGGGCTTCCAGGCAGTATTGAGAGGACTGGGTTAGATGTTTTGACTCAGTGGCCAAAATCCTCTTGCATGGCTACACAAATGGTGTAACTTTGAGAGGCAAACTGCCACAGGTTTCAAAATCAACATAAACATTATCAGTTGCACACTGAGCCATGCAGTTCAAATCCATGGTGATGCTTTTTTTAAAAATTTGGGCCAATTTGTCTCCAAAATTTACGCCATGTGTGTATGCCAGCATAACTAGGCAAGAGAATTTTGGCCAATATAAAGCAGAGTCTGCTGTTCCCGTGTCAGGCAAAAGGTGAAGACTTGGTTGGATTGATATTTGTGGAAAATCCCATGAACTCAGGGCCGGTCAGAGGGAATATTACTGGGCTAGAAAAACAAATAGTGTGGGTTGGACATAAAGCTGCCTAAATGCTCAATAAAGTTACTTTTTAAAATCCTACTGTAACTTCCAGAGTCCCTTGCCTAGTTCAAAATATAACTTTCCAAACTCTAGCCTGTGTTATATATTCTTCTTCATTTAAGTACATTTATATCTTACCTTTTCAGAAAATGCTTCAAGGAGGGTAATAAAAGATTTAATTGTAATGTCTCATTTCAAATAAACTTGCACAACATTACACAGAATAAAACAGTAGTAAAAAATAACCAGTGGCACAACATGGGGTCGTAGGCAGAATAAAAATACAGCAGCAATTTCTTTCCGAGTAAAGGCTGGGCCTACCTGCCACTCTGCCAAGGTAGGTCTGGAACTGCCCATCAGTTTGGACAACTCACTGGGAACTGAAAAGAAATAAGCAGAATAAATATCAGAAAACAATATATTTTCCCTCTTTCATACAGACTTCTGTAGTTTTTGGTGCTGGAATACATGACCATCTGTCTGGGTCGTAAAACATTAAAAAGGAAAGGGCAGCCCTCCAAGATACAGAACAGCAATTAGTGGTGGAAATAGTTCAATGGCACGGTGTTTTCCTCTACATACTACTTCTTCCACCAACTTCAGTTGACGATGCAGTTGAGGGAGAGCTGACTCTTGTTTTATTTGGACCAAGCCACACCTCATGGTCCCTTTGTGCCCCAAATTCTGTTCTACGAGCGTTACTAGAAGCTCAACACATAATGAAACTAAGAAGGAATGCTATTTTATGTTTGTTTAACATCTCCTATTTTGTTTGTCGGCTTCTTCATTTGTTTGGTTTGGCATGGTTTATTAGCATAATTATGATTTCTGTCAATACCTGGTTTATGTGAGAAACTTGTTTGGTCTGCCTTGGTTGCAATTTTTAAAGTAGCCATGTTAGTCTGTCTTGGCATGCTAGTGAAGATAAGAAAGAAAAAAACAAAAAGGCAAAGCAAAATACTACAACACTTCAACAATGAATTTCTAAAGACTTCAAAGACTAATGAAAGATTTATTTCAATGTGAATGCTCGTGGATCAAAATCCACTGTCTGTTTAAAGAAAAGGATTTTGATCCCTGAAAGCACACACTGAAATAAATCTGTTAGTCTTTAACGTGCTACATTATTTTGCCTTTTTAGTTTAATTTTCCTTTTCCTTTCACACTTTATTTTTGTCAGGATGGTTCACCCTGGGATTACAAACATCATCCAGTTATTATTTATTGCAGACAATTAATTATCCAACAGCATGACTGTTGTGAATTACGGTTGGCAGTTCTCAGGGGCTTAAGAAATTCTTGTGTCTCTAAAACCTGGGCACCCCTTGCCACCCATCCACAGTTGATGCCAGCATGTGTGTGTTTGTACGACGCTCACAATGGCACAACAGTCCCAAATGCACATGTCTGTCAACATCATGTTGCATTCCGTGTCCAGCCCTCCTGGTTTTTTGTTGTGTAGATGTTTAACACTTCCTACCTTTTAGACCAAAGCATGGAATGGACCACCAGTATCATGACTCATGAGCCTTCTTGTTTCCCAAGGCCTGGCAGCAGCAGTGAAAGAACTCTCTGGTCCTTCCTGCTCTGCTGCTACGACATCACAAGGCCTCTATCCTTTGGGTGCAGGTTTTGGCCCTGAAATCTTAGAGGAAGGGATGCTGTTGACCTGGCAACTCTGTTGGGTATGAAATTGAATTTGATATACTGTATGTCTTGGGATCAAATAATAATAATAAGCGAGCCTTGCAGAAGCAAACTAGAACGTAAGAAACAGCAAATCGGAGATGGAATACAAGCATCCCAAATATATTTGACATCAATACTGAGATGCCAATACCCACTTAACTTTGACGATGGTTCTTGAATTCAAGAGTCTTTGTTCTTTTTGCCAACAGGACCAGATAGTCAGGCTTGTAAGAGCTGCAGGAAAAAGAGAAAGTCTGGATCTGAAACTTTCCCCATCAGGCACACCCACTGATAGTAAAAATGTCACCAGCTGAGTTTTTGCTTGTTAGGCACCACCGCTTAGAAGATGCTACATGCAATGATGTTATCTATAACATGCTTTTTTTTACGTATGAAAGGCATAGTAACATTAATATTCTCTTTTTAAAAGAATATTATAGCAATAACAGCTAAAGCAATATAACAGCCAGTTAATAATAATGTATCAACTGATGGGTCTGGATTCAAAACAGCTAACTGAGACAAACTTGTGACTCTCTGAAATGCTGAAATATTTGGTCCTCCTTCTCCTCCCCCCCCCTGCTTTATTTGCCCTTTTCATGTTGCCAACTTGTAGAGACAGACTAACTTGGCTACTTGTTTCAGAGCAACTAGCGACTTTGTCACTTTTTGTATGTAAGAAGCAATCTTTTTCTGACAACTGCTAAATTTATTGCTTTGGGAAGGTAATTTTGAAGATATTGTGAGATTTGGGGCTATTTTTGTATTGTCTTTTCTTTTTTATGTTAGTACCATGTTAATGAGTCACTGTTTAAATAAAAAGCAATAAGCCAAATGCACCTGACATCTGCATTACTGTTTTCCAGAGAATTCTTCAACGTGCTGCCAATTGCAGGTGATTTCAGGGCACACATGACTTGTTTACAATGCAATGAAGTTACATGCACTCAGAAATCAGCAAAGGAAGCCTTTAATCACCATCAGTGTGCAGAGAAAAGCTGTGTGACAGGATTTCAGTCATTGTGACTATAAATGTACTTTCCTATATATTTTGGTGCGTTATATCCATTCACCACACTGTTATATCGCTCTGCAAATATATGTCCTAACATCCTTTAAAAATATTTCATAGAATTCCAGCACTGAGTACAATTAGAAGAGACCTCAAGTGTATATTTATTATTTCTGTTACGATATACGAGGGGGTGCTGATATTGAGCCTTTCCCAGAAAAAATTGAGCTAGCAATCTCTAACTGCCACACTATTCTACAAATTTCCCCAGGAAGTCAGTGCACTTGCGACATCCGTACTGTAGCTTCTGAAGTCCCTGCAAATAAAATTCTTCTGACTGCTGGTGTAATCACTCATTTGCAGCATTAGTTGCCTCCAGAACACTCCCAAATCAAAACACTCCTTTAGGTGTTTTTTGAGTTTGGGGAACAGATAATAATCAGAAGGAGCCAGGTCAAAAGAATAGGGTGGATGAGGCATCACTTGAAAGCCTAAGGAGGTCAGTCTTGTCATTATTTCATCTGCAGTGTGTGACTAGGTGTTGTCATGCAACAGGATGACACCTTTGGAGAGTTTCCTCGATGGTTTTCCTTGATGTTTTGCCTCAACTTTGTCAATAAAGCACAGTGATATTTTGCACTGATGGCTGAATACTGTTGGAGGTAGTCCACCAGCAGAACTCCCTTCTTATCCCAAAAAACTGTTGCCATTTGCTTCTGCACCGACCTTTGCCCTCGGAACTTCTTTGGCCTGGGGGAACCACTGTGCCTCCACTCCTTAGACAGTTCCTTTGTCTCCGGATTTTAACAGTAGACCCATGTCTCATCACCAGTTACCAATTTGCCCAGGAAATCTGACTCATTTCTTGCAAAATGTTCCAAAACAGCCACCGATGACTCCACATGTTTCCTCTTTTCTTTGGTTATCAAAGTTTTGGGGATCCACTTTGCTGCCAGCTTTCTCATTTCCAAGTCATTGTGAATAATGGCACCAACTCTCTCACGTGATATTCTCAGATATATAGCAATACTTTTGGCTGATATTTGGCAGTCCTCCATGATAATGTCATGGATGGCTTTCACATTTGCAGGCACAGAGACAGAAATAGGCCTTCCACTGGGTTTCTCACTTTCAACACCAAAATGGCCAGTTTAAAAATCGACAATCCAACATTTAACTGTTGCATATGAAGGGCCACTGTCACCCATAGTTTGTGACATTTCATCATGGATCTGCTTTCCACCTTTCCCTTGGAGAAACAGGAACTTAATTATGGTCCTATGCTCTTCCACACTGGACTTTTCTGGAGGTGCCGCCATGTTCACTTTGGACCGGAAAATGAAAGTTAAGTTAAAATCATAGGTAGCTGATTTTTGCATGGTTGAATACAGTGGTGCCCCGCATAGCAATGTTAATCCGTTCCGGATTAATCATCGCTATCCAGAAACATCGCAATGCAGGTGGGAAAACCCCATAGAAACACATTAAACTTCGTTTAATTTATTTATTTTATTTATTAATTTATTAATTTGATTTTTACCCCGCCCCTCTAGACCATGCGTTCCTATAAGGCGAAAACACACCGTTATGCGAAGATCCTCCATAGCGTCGCCATTTTCGCCACCTCAGTAAGTGAGGAAATAGCGCGAAAATGGTTGCGGTGGCCATTTTGGGCACCCGGCGGCCATTTTGGAACCGCCGATCAGCTGTTTTAGAAACATCACAATGCGATGTTTTGCCCATTAAAACATCGCAATGCGATCACATTAACGATCTCAAAAAATAGATTGCTATGCAGATTCGTCGTTAAACGGTGTGCTCGTTACGCGAGGCACCACTGTATAGACAATTTGGCCAATACACCCTGCATTTACAGCTTCCTAGCTCAATTTTTAGTGGGTAAGGCTCAAAACCTATCACCACCCCCTCGTATATGCCATCAAGTTATATCTGACTTCTAACAAGCTTTATAGGGTTTTCCAGACATGTGAGATATTTACAGAATGCCATCGCCGCCAATGAGTTTTCATGGCCAAGCGGAGATTTGAACACATATTTCCTGAGTCCTAATTGGTCACCCAATCCACTACACCACACTTGTTCCCCTACATTTACAATTGTACAGCAACAAATGTGAAGTATAGAGTTCTGCATTTGTTTGCATGTAGTCCAAGTCCTTGCCCCCAAAGCAAGAATGCACAGTGCATTCTTGTTTTATATTGCTCGGACTCTAAGCCACCTAGAGTAGATTCGTTTGAATCTAGATAGGTGGGATAAAAGCCAAATAAATAATAAATATATAAAGAATCTCTGGTGGATGATCATGCTACCTTTGTTTAAAAACCTCCAGCAAAGGGGAGTCTACTACCTTCCAAGATAATCTTTTTCACCATGGTAAGTGGTTAGCACTTTTGAAATGCAGTAGGATCAATCCCAAGCCAATTTCCTCCCTGCAGATGCAAACAAATAAACAAACAAACAAAAAACAAAACAAAAAACCTTGTGTGGCCTCTGGCTCCATCTAGTAGCCAGTTCAAGTAAATACATCATGGAAATATGTATAATTACAGTGGTGCCTTGACTTACGAATGTCTCGACATAGGACCATTTCGAGTTATGACCAGCTCCGGCCGCAAAATTTTGCTTCGACTTGCAACCGGAGCTTCAAGTTATAACCAGAAAAAGGCAGGGGGAAAAGGAGGGGAATTCAGATTGCTAACCATTGGTGGCGAAGAGGCTGCTTCTTTGTAGCTCTTTCGCCTCAGCAGTTAGAGATTGTGCGATTGGAGGAGGCTTCGGACTGTCTGGCAAGGTAAGGTGCTGCTTTCTACTTTTTAAAAATTGTTCTGGATGGGTTTTGCAGCGTGATTTTGGGCTGGGTGGTGGGATTATGTTTCTATGCTTTGATGGGTCTTGCAGGGTTTGTTTGTTTGTTTGTTTGTTTGTCCCCCCCATTTCCGATGAGTCTTGCAGGGTTTGTTTGCTTTCTGCTTTGCTTCTCCCCCCCCCCCATTTCTGATGGGTCATGCAGGGTTTGTTTGTTCTTTGTGGGTTTTTCCTCATTTCCAATGGGTCTTGCACAGTTTGTTTCCTTTCTGCTTTGCTTTTTTCACATTTCCGAAGGGTCTTGCATGGTTTGTTTGCTTTCTGCTTTGGTTGTTTTTGTTTTTTTGTGGTTGTTTTTGTTTTTTTGTTTGTTTGTTTTTGCATTTCCAATGGGTCTTTCATGGTTTGTTTGCTTTTCTTTTTTTCCTTTCAGCCGGAATAAATTAATCACGTTTCTAATGAGTCTTGCAGTGTTTTGTTTTGGGTTTTTTTTTGGGGGGGGGGTGATTTCTTTTCTTTAGCCGGAATGGATTAATTGCATTGTTGTGTGCTACATTCATGTGTAAATTCATGAAATTATTGGTAAAAGTTTATGGTAAATGTCAATGTGTTGTAAAGTGGAGGCACTGCTGTACATATTTCTGGTTTGTTTGTTTTTTTAATTTAGGATTTTCAGACAGCAGATAAATAAGTGGATACTAATCCTGCAGATTGGGTGTCTGTGTGTCATACTATCTGCATATCTGCAGATATGCAGATGATACCACTCTGATGGCAGAAAGTGAGGAGGAACTAAAGAACCTTGTAATGAGGGTGAAAGAGGAGAGTGCAAAAAATGGTCTGAAACTCAACATCAAAAAAACTAAGATCATGGCCACTGGCCCCATCACCTCCTGGGAAATAGAAGGGGAAGATATGGAGGCAGTGACAGATTTTACTTTCTTGGGCTCCATAATCACTGCAGATGGAGACAGCAGCCACGAAATTAAAAGACGCCTGCTTCTTGGGAGGAAAGCGATGAAAAACCTTGACAGCATCTTAAAAAGCAGAGATATCACCTTGCCAACAAAAGTCCGAATAGTCAAAGCTATGGTTTTCCCTGTAGTGATGTATGGAAGTGAGAGCTGGACCATAAAGAAAGCTGACCGCCGTAGAATTGATGCCTTTGAATTGTGGTGCTGGAGGAGACTCTTGAGAGTCTCCTGGACTGCAAAGAGAACAAACCTATCAATTGTAAAGGAAATCAACCCCGAGTGCTCACTGGAAGGACAGATCCTGAAGCTGAGGCTCCAATACTTTGGCTATCTCATGAGAAGAGAGGACTCCCTGGAAAAGACCTTGATGCTGGGAAAATGTGAAGGCAAGAGGAGAAGGGGACGACCGAGGACGAGATGGTTGGACAGTGTCATTGAGGCAACCAACATGAATCTGACACAACTCCGGGAGGCAGTGGAAGATAGAAGGGCCTGGCGTGCTCTGATCCATGGGGTCACGAAGAGTCGGGCACGACTAAATGACTAAATGTGTCATACTATATGCTTTAAAACATCATGTGTTATTGAATTATGTTATCTTAATATTGGTAATGCACCAAGGTATCAGACAGATACTTTGCTACCAAAAAGATTATAAGTAGACTAATAAGTCAGTTTTTCACTCAGTCCCAAATACTTCATACTGTATATTTATGGCTTGTGTGACATCACTTTCTGAATGGTAGTAAGTACAATAGAGTAGTAGACCATTTTGACTGCTGCCATTGGTGTTGTCAACTTTCAGGCTGCCATTTGCTATAGAAAGCTTGGCATCCTTTTTCCTGCTGGGAACCCAGGTACAAAAGAGTAATGTGTAGCAATATTGGGCTATTGCCTGACTTTTTTAATCGTGTGGACAGAAGCAGAATATCCCACATTCATAAACAAGAGGCTTATTTGAAGAATTGAATAATTTTATACAGCTAGG